GTGGGTCTCTGCGTAGGTCTGTGTGAGTCTGTGTGAGTCTATGAGTCTCTGTGTGAGTCAGGGTCTCTCTGTGTGAGTCTATGAGTCTCTGTGTGAGTCTATGTGTGAGTCTATGCGTCTCTGTGTGAGTCTATGAGTCTCTGTGAGTCTCTGTGTGAGTCTATGAGTCTCTGTGTGAGTCTATGAGTCTCTGTGTGAGTCTCTGCGTGGGTCTGTGTGAGTCTGTGTGAGTCTATGAGTCTCTGTGTGAGTCAGGGTCTCTCTGTGTGAGTCTGTTTGTCTCTGTGTGAGTCTATGAGTCTCTGCGTGAGTCTATGAGTCTATGAGGCTCTCTGTGTGAGTCTATGAGTCTCTGTGTGAGTCTATGAGTCTCTGTGTGAGTCTATGAGTCTATGAGTCTCTGTGTGAGTATGTGTGAGTCTCTGTGTGAGTCTGTGTGAGTCTCTGTGTGAGTCTATGAGTTTCTGTGTGAGTCTCTGTGTGAGTCTATGAGTCTCTGTGTGAGTATCTGTGTGAGTCTATGAGTCTCTGTGTGAATCTGTGAGTCTCTGTGTGAGTCTATGAGTCTCTGTGTGAATCTGTGAGTCTATGAGTCTCTCTGTGTGAGTCTATGAGTCTCTGTGTGTCTCTGTGTGAGTCTATGAGTCTCTGTGTGAGTCTATGTGTGAGTCTATGCGTCTCTGTGTGAGTCTATGAGTCTCTGTGAGTCTATGAGTCTCTGTGTGAGTCTGTGTGAGTCTGTGTGAGTCTATGAGTCTCTGTGTGAGTTTATGAGTCTCTGTGTGAATCTGTGAGTCTCTGTGTGAATCTGTGAGTCTCTGTGTGAGTCTATGAGTCTCTGTGTGAATCTGTGAGTCTATGAGTCTCTCTGTGTGAGTCTATCAGTCTCTGTGTGAGTCTATGAGTCTCTGTGAGTCTATGAGTCTCTGTGTAAGTCTGTGTGAGTCTGTGTGAGTCTATGAGTCTCTCTGTGAGTCTATGAGTCTCTGTGTGAGTCTCTGTGTGAGTCTATGAGTCTCTGTGTGAGTCTATGAGTCTCTGTGTGAGTCTCTGTGTGAGTCTATGAGTCTCTGTGAGTCTATGAGTCTCTGTGTAAGTCTGTGGTGAGTCTGTGTGAGTCTATGAGCCTCTCTGTGAGTCTATGAGTCTCTGTGTGAGTCTCTGTGTGAGTCTATGAGTCTCTGTGTGAGTCTATGAGTCTCTGTGTGAGTCTCTGTGTGAGTCTATGAGTCTCTGTGAGTATATAAGTCTCTGTGTGAGTCTGTGTGAGTCTGTGTGAGTCTATGAGTCTCTGTGTGAGTCTCTGTGTGAATCTATGAGTCTCTGTGTGAGTCTATGCGTCTCTGTGTGAGTCTGTGTGAGTCTATGAGTCTCTGTCTGAGTCTATGAGTCTCTGTGTGAGTGTCTGTGTGAGTCTATGAGTCTCTGTGTGAGTCTATGAGTCTCTGTGTGAGTCTATGAGTCTCTGTGTGAGTCTATGAGTCTCTGTGTGAGTCTCTCTGTGAGTCTATGAGTCTCTGTGTGAGTCTCTCTGTGAGTCTATGAGTCTCTGTGTGAGTCGAGGAAGACGCTCTGCACATCACCGGCACGTGTGTGTGTGTGTGGTACGCGGCGTGCTCCAGGCGGAGCCGCGCCTCGAGCTGGCAACAATGGAAGCATCACAGAGAGCGGCTGTCAGTGTCACCTTGCAGGAGACAGAGTGGAGACAGAGTGGAGACAGAGTGGAGACAGAGTGGAGAGATTAGAGACAGAGTGGAGACAGAGTGGAGACAGAGTGGAGAGATTAGAGACAGAGTGGAGAGATTAGAGACAGAGTGGAGACAGAGTGGAGACAGAGTGGAGAGATTAGAGACAGAGTGGAGAGATTAGAGACAGAGTGGAGACAGAGTGGAGAGATTAGAGACAGAGTGGTGACAGAGTGGAGACAGAGTGGAGACAGAGTGGAGAGATTAGAGACAGAGTGGAGACAGAGTGGAGACAGAGTGGAGAGATTAGAGACAGAGTGGAGAGATTATAGACAGAGTGGAGACAGAGTGGAGACAGAGTGGAGAGATTAGAGACAGAGTGGAGAGATTAGAGACAGAGTGGAGACAGAGTGGAGAGAGTGGAGACAGAGTGGAGACAGAGTGGAGAGAGAGTGGAGACAGAGTGGAGACAGAGTGGAAAGATTAGAGACAGAGTGGAGACAGAGTGGAGACAGAGTGGAGAGATTAGAGACAGAGTGGAGAGATTAGAGACAGAGTGGAGACAGAGTGGAGATATTAGAGACAGAGTGGAGACAGAGTGGAGAGAGTGGAGACAGAGTGGAGACAGAGTGGAGATAGATTAGAGACAGAGTGGAGACAGAGTGGAGACAGAGTGGAGAAATTAGAGATAGAGTGGAGAGAGTGGAGACAGAGTGGAGACAGAGGGAGACAGAGTGGAGACAGAGTGGAGACAGAGTGGAGACAGAGGGAGACAGAGTGGAGACAGAGTGGAGAGAGTGGAGACAGAGTGGTGACAGAGTGGAGACAGAGTGGAGACAGAGTGGTGACAGAGTGGAGACAGAGTGGAGACAGAGTGGAGACAGAGTGGAGAGATTAGAGACAGAGTGGAGAGATTAGAGACAGAGTGGAGAGAGTGGAGACAGAGTGGAGAGAGTAGAGACAGAGTGGAGACAGAGTGGACAGAGTGGAGACAGAGTGGAGAGAGTGGAGACAGAGTGGAGAGAGTGGAGAGATTAGAGACAGATTGGAGACAGAGTGGAGAGATTAGAGACAGAGTGGAGACAGAGTGGAGAGATTAGAGACAGAGTGGAGACAGAGTGGAGACAGAGTGGAGAGATTAGAGACAGAGTGGAGAGAGTGGAGACAGAGTGGAGACAGAGTGGAGACAGAGTGGAAATATTAGAGACAGAGTGGAGACAGAGTGGAGAGAGATTAGAGACAGAGTGGAGACAGAGTGGAGAGATTAGAGACAGAGTGGAGACAGAGTGGAGACAGAGTGGTGACAGAGTGGAGACAGAGTGGAGACAGAGTGGAGAGATTAGAGACAGAGTGGAGACAGAGTGGAGACAGAGTGGAGAGATTAGAGACAGAGTGGAGAGATTAGAGACAGAGTGGAGACAGAGTGGAGACAGAGTGGAGATATTAGAGACAGAGTGGAGACAGAGTGGAGAGAGTGGAGACAGAGTGGAGACAGAGTGGAGAGAGAGTGGAGACAGAGTGGAGACAGAGTGGAGAGATTAGAGACAGAGTGGAGACAGAGTGGAGACAGAGTGGAGAGATTAGAGACAGAGTGGAGAGATTAGAGACAGAGTGGAGACAGAGTGGAGACAGAGTGGAGATATTAGAGACAGAGTGGAGACAGAGTGGAGACAGAGTGGAGACAGAGTGGAGATATTAGAGACAGAGTGGAGACAGAGTGGAGACAGAGTGGAGATATTAGAGACAGAGTGGAGACAGAGTGGAGACAGAGTGGAGACAGAGTGGAGAGATTAGAGACAGAGTGGAGACAGAGTGGAGAGAGTGGAGACAGAGTGGAGACAGAGTGGAGACAGAGTGGAGAGATTAGAGACAGAGTGGAGACAGAGTGGAGACAGAGTGGAGACAGAGTGGAGAGAGATTAGAGACAGAGTGGAGACAGAGTGGAGACAGAGTGGAGAGATTAGAGATAGAGTGGAGACAGAGTGGAGAGAGATTAGAGACAGAGTGGAGACAGAGTGGAGACAGAGTGGAGAGATTAGAGATAGAGTGGAGAGAGTGGAGACAGAGTGGAGACAGAGGGAGACAGAGTGGAGACAGAGTGGAGAGATTAGAGACAGAGTGGAGAGATTAGAGACAGAGTGGAGAGAGTGGAGACAGAGTGGAGAGAGTAGAGACAGAGTGGAGACAGAGTGGAGAGAGTGGAGACAGAGTGGAGAGAGTGGAGACAGAGTGGAGAGAGTGGAGAGATTAGAGACAGATTGGAGACAGAGTGGAGAGAGTGGAGACAGAGTGGAGACAGAGTGGAGAGAGTGGAGACAGAGTGGAGAGATTAGAGACAGAGTGGAGACAGAGTGGAGAGATTAGAGACAGAGTGGAGACAGAGTGGAGACAGAGTGGAGAGATTAGAGACAGAGTGGAGACAGAGTGGAGACAGAGTGGAGAGATTAGAGACAGAGTGGAGACAGAGTGGAGAGAGTGGAGACAGAGTGGAGACAGAGTGGAGACAGAGTGGAGACAGAGTGGAGAGAGTGGAGAGATTAGAGACAGAGTAGAGACAGAGTGGAGACAGAGTGGAGAGAGTGGAGACAGAGTGGAGACAGAGTGGAGACAGATTGGAGACAGAGTGGAGAGAGTCAGAGTGTAGAGAGAGAGAGAGATTGGAGAGAGAGATGTTCGAATCGACGGTTCTAACCGGCTGGGCCGCCCTGGTTAATATCGTGGCTTCGGGCAGTGGCTCACCTGGTGAGTTTGAATCTGGTGAGGATGATGGCTCACCTGGTGAGTTTGAATCTGGTGAGGATGGTGACTCACCAGATGAGTTTTAATCTGGTGAGGATGATGGCTCACCTGGTGAGTTTGAATCTGGTGAGGATGGTGGCTCACCTGGTGAGTTTGAATCTGGTGAGGATGGTGGCTCACCTGGTGAGTTTGAATCTGGTGAGGACTGTGACTCACCTGGTGAGTTTGAATCTGGTGAGGATGATGGCTCACCTGGTGAGTTTGAATCTGGTGAGGATGGTGGCCCACCTGGTGAATTTGAATCTGGTGAGGATGGTGGCTCACCTGGTGAGTTTGAATCTGTTGAGGACTGTGGCTCACCTGCTGAGTTTGAATCTGGTGAGGATGATGGCTCATATGGTGAGTTTGAATCTGATGAGGATGGTGGCTCACCTGGTGAGTTTGAATCTGGTGAGGATGGTGGCTCACCTGGTGAGTTTGAATCTGGTAAGGTCAGTGGCTCACCTGGTGAGTTTGATTCTGGTGAGGACTGTGACTCACCTGGTGAGTTTGAATCTGGTAAGGACGGTGGCTCACCTGGTGAGCTTCTGCAGTTTGAATCTCATGAAGATGGCAGGACCCTTGTTGAAGTTCATGCCCAGGTAGAAGAAAGTGGGGTCCTTTTGGTCACTGACCGGAGCGCACGTATGGATGGGCTGATCAAGGAAATCAAACACCATGACAATCAATAATAATAACAACAACGACAAAATACAGGGGACTCCTCTGCTTTCGAACGTCCGACTTATGAACATTCAGAGATATGAACAAACCCTGGTCCCGTATGGTCCAGTGGAAGCCTGTTGGGACCGCGAGTTGTAAATTAAAAAAACGGTGGTCGTGGCATCTACATCTGAAGAACGTGAAGAACCAGTGGCATCTACATCTGCAGAACAAGTGACATCTAAATCTGCAGAACGTGAAGAACCAGTGGCATCTACATCCGCAGAATGTGAAGAACCAATGACGTCTACGTCTACAAAACGTGAAGAACCAGTGGCATCTACATCTGCAGAACGTGAAGAACCAGTGGCATCTACATGTGCAGAATGTGAAGAACCAGTGGCATCTACATCTACAGAACGTGAAGAACCAGTGACATCTACATCTCCAGAACGTGAAGAACCAGTGGCATCTACATCTGCAGAATGTGGAGAACCAGTGGCATCTACATCTGCAGAACGTTAAGAACCAGTGGCATCTACAGAACGTGAAGAACCAGTGGCATCTACATCTGCAAAATGTGAAGAACCAGTGGCATCTACATCTACATAACTTGAAGAACCAGTGGCATCTACATCTGCAGAACGTGAAGAACCAGTGGCATCTACATCTGCAGAACGTGAAGAACCAGCGGCATCTACATCTGCAGAACGTGAAGAACCAGTGGCATCTACATGTGCAGAATGTGAAGAACCAGTGGCATCTACATCTGCAGACCGTGAAGAACCAGTGGCATCTACATCTACAGAACGTGAAGAACCAGTGGCATCTACATCTGCAGAACGTGAAGAACCAGTGGCATCTACATCTGCAGAATATGGGGAACCAGTGGCATCTACATCTGCAGAACGTAAAGAACCAGTGGCATCTACATCTGCAGAACGTGAAGAACCAGTGGCATCTACATCTACAGAACGTAAAGAACCAGTGGCATCTACATCTACAAAACGTGAAGAACCAGTGGCATCTACATCTGCAGAATGTGAAGAACCAGTGGCATCTACATCTACAGAACTTGAAGAACCAGTGGCATCTACATCTACAGAACGTAAAGAACCAGTGGCATCTACATCTGCAGAACGTGAAGAACCAGTGGCATCTACATCTACAGAACGTAAAGAACCAGTGGCATCTACATCTGCAGAAGGTGAAAAACAAGTGGCATCTGCAGTCTATGAGTCTCTGCGTGAGTCTATGGGTCTTTGCGTAAGCCTATGGGTCTCTGTGTGAGTATATGAGTCTGTGTGAATCTGTATGAGTCTGTGTGAGTCTATGAGTCTCTGTGCGAGTCTGTGGGTCTCTGTGTCAGTCTATGGGTCACTGTGCACATCTGTGGGTCTTTGTGCGAGTCTATATGTCTCTGTGTGAGTCTATGGGTCTCTCTGTGAGTCTGTGTGAGTCAGTGTCTCTCTGTGTGAGTCTACGAGTCTCTGTGTGAGTCTACGAGTCTCTCTGTGTGAGTCTACGAGTCTCTCTGTGTGTGACTCTATGGGTCTCTGTGTGAGTCTATGAGTCGCTGTGTGAGCCTACGAGTCTCTCTGTATGAGTCTATGAGACTCTGTGTGAGCCTATGAGTCTCTGTGTGAGTCTATGCGTCTCTGTGTGAGTCTACGAGTCTCTGTGTGAGTCTACGAGTCTCTGTGTGAGTCTACAAGCCTCTCTGTGTGTGAGTCTATGGGTCTCTGTGTGAGTCTACGAGACTCTGTGTGAGTCTACGAGTCTCTGTGTTAGTCTACGAGTCTCTCTGTGTGTGAGTCTATGGGTCTCTGTGTGAGTCTATGGGTCTCTGTGTTAGTCTACGAGTCTCTGTGTGAGTCTACGAGTCTCTCTGTGTGAGTCTACGAGTCTCTGTGTGAGTCTATGGGTCTCTGTGTTAGTCTACGAGGCGCTCTGTGTGTGAGTATATGAGTCTCTGTGTGAGTCTACGAGTCTCTGTGTGAGTCTATGGGTCTCTGTGTTAGTCTACGAGGCTCTCTGTGTGTGAGTCTATACGTCTCTGTGTGAGTCTACGAGTCTCTGTGTGAGTCTCTGTGTGAGTCTACGGGTCTCTGTGTGAGTCTATGAGTCTCTGTGTGAGTCTACGAGTCTCTGTGTGAGTCTCTGTGTGAGTCTACGAGTCTCTGTGTGAGTCTCTGTGTGAGTCTATGGGTCTCTGTGTGAGTCTACGAGTCTCTGTCTGAGTCTACGAGTCTCTGTGTGTGAGTCTACAAGTCTCTGTGTGAGTCTCTGTGTGAGTCTACGAGTCTCTCTGTGTGTGAGTCTACGAGTCTCTGTGTGAGTCTCTGTGTTAGTCTACGAGTCTCTCTGTGTGTGAGTCTCTGTGTGAGTCTACGAGTCTCTTTGTGTGTGAGTCTCTGTGTTAGTCTATGAGTCTCTCTGTGTGAGTCTACGGGTCTCTCTGTGTGAGTCTCTGTGTGAGTCTACGAGTCTCTCTGTGTGAGGCTACGAGTCTCTCTGTGTGAGTCTACGAGTCTCTGTGTGAGTCTATGGGTCTCTGTGTTAGTCTACGAGACTCTCTGTGCGTGAGTCTATGAGTCTCTGTGTGAGTGTACGAGTCTCTGTGTGAGTCTCTGTGTGAGTCTCTGTGTGAGTCTACGGGTCTCTGTGTGAGTCTATGAGTCTCTGTGTGAGTCTACGAGTCTCTGTGTGAGTCTCTGTGTGAGTCTACGAGTCTCTGTGTGAGTCTCTGTGTGAGTCTATGGGTCTCTGTGTGAGTCTACGAGTCTCTGTGTGAGTCTACGAGTCTCTGTGTGTGAGTCTACGAGTCTCTGTGTGAGTCTCTGTGTGAGTCTACGAGTCTCTCTGTGTGTGAGTCTACGAGTCTTTGTTTGAGTCTCTGTGTTAGTCTACGAGTCTCTCTGTGTGTGAGTCTCTGTGTGAGTCTACGAGTCTCTTTGTGTGTGAGTCTCTGTGATAGTCTATGAGTCTCTCTGTGTGAGTCTACGGGTCTCTCTGTGTGAGTCTCTGTGTGAGTCTACGAGTCTCTCTGTGTGAGTCTATGAGTCTCTCTGTGTGAGTCTACGAGTCTCTGTGTGAGTCTACGAGTCTCTCTCTGTGTGAGTCTACGAGTCTCTGTGTTAGTCTATGAGTCTCTCTGTGAGTCTGTGTGAGCCAGTGTCTCTCTGTGTTAGTCTACGAGTCTCTGTGTGAGTCTACGCGGCTCTGTTTGAGTCTACGAGTCTCTGTGTTAGTCTACGAGTCTCTCTGTGTGAGTCTATGAGTCTCTGTGTGAGTCTATGTGTCTCTGTGTGAGTCTACGAGTCTCTGTGTGAGTCTCTGTGTGAGTCTATGAGTCTCTGTGTTAGTCTACGAGGCTCTCTGTGTGTGAGTCTATGGGTCTCTGTGTGTTAGTCTACGAGTCTCTGTGTTAGTCTACGAGTCTCTGTGTTAGTCTACGAGGCTCTCTGTGTGTGAGTCTACGAGTCTCTCTGTGTGAGTCTATGGGTCTCTTTATGAGTCTACGAAGCTCTCTGTGTGAGTCTACGAGTCTCTGTGTTAGCCTACGAGGCTCTCTGTGTTAGTCTATGAGTCTCTCTGTGTGAGTCTCTGTGTTAGTCTACGAGTCTCTGTGTGAGTCTATGGGTCTCTGTGTTAGTCTACGAGTCTCTCTGTGTTAGTCTACGAGTCTCTGTGTTAGTCTATGGGTCTCTGTGTTAGTCTACGAGTCTCTGTGTTAGTCTACGAGGCTCTCCGTGTGAGTCTACGAGTCTCTGTGTTAGTCTACGAGTTTCTGTGTGAGTCTACGAGTCTCTCTCTGTGTGTGAGTCTACGAGTCTCTCTGTGTTAGTCTACGGGTCTCTCTGTGTGAGTCTACGAGTCTCTCTGTGTTAGTCTACGAGTCTCTCTCTGTGTGAGTCTACGAGTCTCTGTATGAGTCTACGAGTCTCTGTGTGAGTCTACGGGTCTCTGTGTGAGTCTATGGGTCTCTGTGTTAGTCTATGAATCCCTCTGTGTGTGAGTCTATGAGTCTCTGTGTGAGTCTACGAGTCTCTGTGTGAGTCTCTGTGTGAGTCTACGGGTCTCTGTGTGAGTCTATGAGTCTCTGTGTGAGTCTACGAGTCTCTGTGTGAGTCTCTGTGTGAGTCTACGAGTCTCTGTGTGAGTCTCTGTGTGAGTCTATGGGTCTCTGTGTGAGTCTACGAGTCTCTGTCTGAGTCTACGAGTCTCTGTGTGTGAGTCTACGAGTCTCTGTGTGAGTCTCTGTGTGAGTCTACGAGTCTCTCTGTGTGTGAGTCTACGAGTCTATGTGTGAGTCTCTGTGTTAGTCTACGAGTCTCTCTGTGTGTGAGTCTCTGTGTGAGTCTACGAGTCTCTTTGTGTGTGAGTCTCTGTGTTAGTCTATGAGTCTCTCTGTGTGAGTCTACGGGTCTCTCTGTGTGAGTCTCTGTGTGAGTCTACGAGTCTCTCTGTGTGAGTCGACGAGTCTCTCTGTGTGAGTCTATGAGTCTCTATGTGAGTCTACGAGTCTCTGTGTGAGTCTCTGTGTGAGTCTACGAGTCTCTGTGTGAGTCTCTGTGTGAGTCTATGGGTCTCTGTGTGAGTCTACGAGTCTCTGTGTGAGTCTACGAGTCTCTGTGTGTGAGTCTACGAGTCTCTGTGTGAGTCTCTGTGTGAGTCTACGAGTCTCTCTGTGTGTGAGTCTACGAGTCTCTGTGTGAGTCTCTGTGTTAGTCTCCGAGTCTCTCTGTGTGTGAGTCTCTGTGTGAGTCTACGAGTCTCTTTGTGTGTGAGTCTCTGTGTTAGTCTATGAGTCTCTCTGTGTGAGTCTACGGGGTCCCTCTGTGTGAGTCTCTGTGTGAGTCTACGAGTCTCTCTGTGTGAGTCTACGAGTCTCTCTGTGTGAGTCTACGAGTCTCTGTGTGAGTCTATGGGTCTCTGTGTTAGTCTACGAGGCTCTCTGTGTGTTAGTCTATGAGTCTCTGTGTGAGTCTACGAGTCTCTGTGTGAGTCACTGTGTGAGTCTACGGGTCTCTGTGTGAGTCTATGAGTCTCTGTGTGAGTCTACGAGTCTCTGTGTGAGTCTCTGTGTGAGTCTACGAGTCTCTGTGTGAGTCTCTGTGTGAGTCTATGGGTCTCTGTGTGAGTCTACGAGTCTCTGTGTGAGTCTACGAGTGTCTGTGTGTGAGTCTACGAGTCTCTGTGTGAGTCTCTGTGTGAGTCCACGAGTCTCTCTGTGTGTGAGTCTACGAGTCTCTGTGTGAGTCTCTGTGTTAGTCTACGAGTCTCTCTGTGTGTGAGTCTCTGTGTGAGTCTACGAGTCTCTTTGTGTGTGAGTCTCTGTGTTAGTCTATGAGTCTCTCTGTGTGAGTCTACGGGTCTCTCTGTGTGAGTCTCTGTGTGAGTCTACGAGTCTCTCTCTGTGTGAGTCTACGAGTCTCTGTGTTAGTCTATGATGCTCTCTGTGAGTCTGTGTGAGCCAGTGTCTCTCTGTGTTAGTCTACGAGTCTCTGTGTGAGTCTACGAGTCTCTGTTTGAGTCTACGAGTCTCTGTGTTAGTCTACGAGTCTCTCTGTGTGAGTCTATGAGTCTCTGTGTGAGTCTATGTGTCTCTGTGTGAGTCTACGAGTCTCTGTGTGAGTCTACGAGTCTCTGTGTGAGTCTATGAGTCTCTGTGTTAGTCTACGAGGCTCTCTGTGTGTGAGTCTATGGGTCTCTGTGTGTTAGTCTACGAGTCTCTGTGTTAGTCTACGAGTCTCTGTGTTAGTCTACGAGGCTCTCTGTGTGTGAGTCTACGAGTCTCTCTGTATGAGTCTATGAGTCTCTTTATGAGTCTACGAAGCTCTCTGTGCGAGTCTACGAGTCTCTGTGTTAGTCTACGAGTCTCTCTGTGTGAGTCTATGGGTCTCTTTATGAGTCTACGAAGCTCTCTGTGTGAGTCTACGAGTCTCTGTGTTAGTCTACGAGTCTCTCTGTGTTAGTCTATGGGTCTCTGTGTTAGTCTACGAGCCTCTGTGTTAGTCTACGAGTCTCTGTGTGAGTCTACGAGTCTCTCTGTGTGAGTCTCTGTGTGAGTCTACGAGTCTCTCTCTGTGTGAGTCTCTGTGTGAGTCTCTGTGTGAGTCTACGAGTCTCTCTCTGTGTGTGAGTCTACGAGTCTCTCTGTGTTAGTCTACGGGTCTCTCTTTGTGAGTCTACGAGTCTCTGTATGAGTCTACGAGTCTCTGTGTGAGTCTACGGGTCTCTGTGTGAGTCTACGAGTCTCTGTGTGTTAGTCTACGAGTCTCTCTGTGTGTGAGTCTCTGTGTTAGTCTACGAGCACTCTGTGTGAGTCTATGGGTCTCCCTATGTGAGTCTCTGTGTGAGTCTACGAGTCTCTGTGTGAGTCTCTGTGTGAGTCTACGAGTCTCTGTGTGAGTCTATGGGCTCTGTGTGAGTCTACGAGTCTCTCTGTGTGTGAGTCTATGGGTCTCTCTGTGTGAGTCTCTGTGTTAGTCTACGAGTCTCTCTGTGTGTGAGTCTCTGTGTGTCTACGGGTCTCTATGTGAGTCTATGGGTTTCTGTGTGAGTCTATGGGTCTCTGTGTGAGTCTATGGGTCTCTGTGTTAGTCTATGAGTCTCTGTGTGAGTCTACGAGTCTCTCTCTGTGTGAGTCTCTGTGTGTCTACGGGTCTCTGTGTGAGTCTATGTGTCTCTGTGTGAGTCTATGGGTCTCTGTGTGAGTCTATGGGTCTCTGTGTGAGTCTATGGGTCTCTGCGTGAGTCTATGGGTCTCCGTGTGAGTCTACGAGTCTCTGTGTTAGTCTACGAGTCTCTCTGTGTGAGTCTATGTGTCTCTCTGTGTGAGTCTCTGTGTGAGTCTACGAGTCTCTCTATGTGAGTCTCTGTGTGAGTCTACGAGTCTCTCTCTGTGTGAGTCTCTCACCTGACAGGAGCGTTGGTCAGTGGCGAGTGTGGAGCCGTTGCGCCCTTCGCAGTAGCAGCGGACAGAGCCTGCAGACTCTGAGCAGCCCTGCTCACAGCGCAGCTCCACACACTCACTCCACACTGGGGGGCAGGGGGGGCAGGGGGGGCAGGGGGGATGGGGGCAGCGGAGGAGAGCACCACCATCATCATCACCACCATCATCATCATTAGCACCATCATCAGCACCATCATCAGCACCATCATCATTAGCACCATCATCATTAGCACCATCATCATCACCATCATCATCACCATCATCATCATTAGCACCATCATCATCATCAGCACCATCATCATCATCAGCACCATCATCATCATCACCACCATCATCAGCTCCATCATCATCATCAACATTAGCACCATCATCATCAGCATCATCATCAGCACCATCATCATCATCAGCATCATCATCAGCACCATCATCATCAGCACCATTATCAGCTGCAGCATCATCATCACGATCAGCATCATCACAAGAAGCATCATCAGCCGCAGTAGCAGCAGCAGCAGCAGCAGCGTCAGCCCAACCATCAGCATCATCATCAGCAGCGTGGTGCGGGATTGCGTGGTGCAGGATTGTGGGTTAAAGGATTGCGTGGTGCAGGGTTGCGGGTTTGTGGGCTGTGGATTGCAGATTTTGCAGGATTGGCGATTGAGGATTGCGTGGTGCAGGATTGAGTGGTGGAGAATTGAGTGGTGGAGGATTGAGTGGTGGAGGATTGCGTGGTGGAGGATTGAGTGGTGGAGGATTGAGTGGTGGAGGATTGAGTGGTGGAGGATTGAGTGGTGCAGGATTGAGTGGTGGAGGATTGAGTGGTGGAGGATTGAGTGGTGGAGGATTGCGTGGTGGAGGATTGAGTGGTGGAGGATTGAGTGGTGGAGGATTGAGTGGTGGAGGATTGTGTGGTGCAGGATTGAGTGGTGGAGGATTGCGTGGTGGAGGATTGAGTGGTGGAGGATTGCGTGGTGGAGGATTGTGTGGTGCAGGATTGAGTGGTGGAGGATTGCGTGGTGGAGGATTGTGTGGTGCAGGATTGAGTGGTGGAGGATTGCGTGGTGGAGGATTGAGTGGTGGAGGATTGTGTGGTGCAGGATTGAGTGGTGGAGGATTGCGTGGTGGAGGATTGTGTGGTGCAGGATTGAGTGGTGGAGGATTGAGTGGTGGAGGATTGTGTGGTGGAGGATTGCGTGGTGGAGGATTGCGTGGTGGAGGATTGCGTGGTGGAGGATTGCAATTCTGCCAATTTTCCGGATTGCGGGTTGCACGATTGCCGATTGAAGGGTTGTGAATGTTCGTGTTGCGAGTTGCGTCAGGATGCACGGCGCGCGCGAGGGGGTTTAAACATTCACTTCCAGCTGTCGTGACTGCAGGAATTCACGCGTTTTGGGTCTTTCGGTGAAGCCACGTAGATAGATCAAATAATAAAAAATAATAAAACAATGATGAAAATGATGAAAAATAATAACAATAATGAAAAATAAGAAAAGTAAATAATAATAATAAAAGTAATAAAAATAATGAAATTAAAATTAAAAAAATGATAACAATATCATGACGTTTCCATGGCAACGTGTGCAATCGTCATCAGGTGATGAATCTCAGCAACTCACCTGATGACGATTGCTTACGTTGCGATTGAAACGTCGAAATATTGTTTTCATTTTTCAAATTATTTTTATATTTAATATTTTTCTTTTCACAACGTATTTTTATATTTGTATTATTTTTATTAATTTATTCTTATTCCAAATATCGTTTATTATTTATTTCTAATTAAAAAAATTATTTGTGTTTCTATTATTTCTAATATTTTTTAATTATTTTTTATTTTAATATTTTTTGTTATTTTTTCATGATGTATAATTTTTTGTATTATTTTTTATTTTAATTTTTTTGTTATTTTTTATTATATATTTTTTATTATTTGATCTATCTTCGTGGCTTCACCGAAAGACCCCAAGAACAGGAGGAGGTTTGTGGAACTTCTTTGGCACCGCACGTGGACAACCGTGCCCAGCCCCGGTGCAGGGTGCCTGCTGTAGGATTGGTTGTTGTGGTTGTGGGTTGTTGTTGTGGGTTGTTGTTGTTGTGGGTTGTTGTTGTGGGTTGTTGTTGTTGTGGGTTGTTGTTGTGGGTTGTTGTTGTTGTTGTGGGTTGTTGTTGTGGGTTGTTGTTGTTGTGGGTTGTTGTTGTGGTTGTTGTTGTTGTGGGTTGTTGTTGTGGGTTGTTGTTGTTATTGTTGTTGTTGTTGTGTTGTGGGTTGTTGTGTGTTGTTGTTGTGTGTTGTTGTTGTGGGTTGTTGTTGTGGGTTGTGTGTTGTTGTGGGTTCTTGTTGTTGTGGGTTGTTGTTGTGTGTTGTTGTTGTAGTTGTGTGTTGTAGTTGTTGTTGTTGTGTGTTGTAGTTATTGTAGTTGTTGTAGTTGTTGTGTGTTGTTGTTGTTGTGTGTTGTAGTTGTTGTTGTTGTGTGTTGTTGTAGTTGTTGTTGTGTGTTGTTGTAGTTGTTGTTGTGTGTTGTTGTGTGTTGTTGTAGTTGTTGTGTGTTGTTGTGTGTTGTTGTTGTTGTAGTTGTTGTAGTTGTAGTTGTTGTTGTTGTAGTTGTGTGTTGTTGTAGTTGTTGTTGTGTGTTGTAGTTGCTGTGTGTTGTTGTTGTTGTAGTTGTTGTTGTAGTTGTTTACCCTCTGAACAGGTCTTGCCGGTCCAGCCCGGCAGGCAGCGGCAGGCGAAGTCGTTGTTGTTGTTGTTGTTGTGTGTTGTAGTTGTTGTTGTTGTTGTGTGTTGTTGTTGTAGTTGTAGTTGTTGTGTGTTGTTGTAGTTGTTGTTGTAGTGTGTTGTTGTGTGTTGTTGTTGTGTGTTGTAGTTGTTGTAGTGTGTTGTTGTGTGTTGTTGTTGTGTGTTGTAGTTGTGTGTTGTTGTGTGTTGTTGTTGTTGTTGTTGTGTGTTGTAGTTGTTGTTGTTGTTGTGTGTTGTAGTTGTTGTTGTTGTGTGTTGTAGTTGTTGTGTGTTGTAGTTGTTGTTGTGTGTAGTTGTTGTTGTTGTGTGTTGTTGTTGTTGTGTGTTGTTGTAGTTGTTGTTGTGTGTTGTTGTTGTAGTTGTTGTAGTTGTTGTGTGTTGTTGTAGTTGTGTGTTGTTGTAGTTGTTGTAGTTGTTGTGTGTTGTTGTAGTTGTGTGTTGTTGTAGTTGTGTGTTGTTGTTGTTGTGTGTTGTAGTTGTTGTGTGTTGTTGTAGTTGTGTGTTGTTGTAGTTGTTGTAGTTGTTGTAGTTGTTGTTGTAGTTGTTGTAGTTGTTGTATGTTGCAGTTATTGTAGTTGTTGTAGTTGTTGTGTGTAGTTGTTGTAGTTGTTGTGTGTAGTTGTTGTGTGTTGTTGTAGTAGTTGTAGTTGTTGTTGTAGTAGTTGTAGTTGTTGTTGTGTGTTGTTGTTGTTGTTGTGTGTTGTTGTTGTGTGTTGTTGTGTGTTGTTGTTGTTGTGTGTTGTAGTTGTTGTTGTTGTGTGTTGTAGTTGTTGTTGTTGTGTGTTGTAGTTGTTGTTGTTGTGTGTTGTAGTTGTTGTTGTGTGTAGTTGTTGTTGTTGTTGTGTGTTGTTGTTGTTGTGTGTTGTTGTAGTTGTTGTTGTGTGTTGTTGTTGTTGTTGTGTGTTGTTGTGGTAGTTTTTGTAGTTGTTGTGTGTTGTTGTAGTTGTGTGTTGTTGTAGTTGTAGTTGTTGTAGTTGTTGTTGTAGTTGTTGTAGTTGTTGTGTGTTGTTGTTGTTGTAGTTGTAGTTGTTGTTGTTGCGTGTTGTTGTTGTGTGTAGTTGTAGTTGTGTGTTGTTGTAGTAGTTGTAGTTGTTGTTGTGTGTTGTTGTTGTAGTTGTAGTTGTGTGTTGTTGTAGTTGTTGTGTGTTGTTGTTGTTGTGTGTTGTTGTTGTGTGTTGTTGTGTGTTGTTGTTGTAGTTGTTGTAGTTGTAGTTGTTGTAGTAGTTGTTGTAGTTGTTGTTGTGTGTTGTAGTTGTTGTTGTGTGTTGTTGTAGTTGTGTGTTGTTGTAGTTGTAGTTGTTGTAGTTGTAGTAGTTGTTTACCCTCTGAACAGGTCTTGCCAGTCCAGCCCGCCAGGCAGCGGCAGGCGAAGTCGTTGTTGTTGTTGTTGTTGTGTGTTGTAGTTGTTGTTGTGTGTTGTTGTGGTAGTTTTTGTAGTTGTTGTGTGTTGTTGTTGTGTGTTGTTGTAGTTGTTGTAGTTGTTGTTGTTGTAGTTGTGTGTTGTTGTAGTTGTGTGTTGTTGTAGTTGTAGTTGTTGTAGTTGTTGTTGTTGTAGTAGTTGTAGTTGTTGTTGTAGTAGTTGTAGTTGTGTGTTGTTGTTGTTGTTGTTGTTGTGTGTTGTTGTTGTGTGTTGTTGTGTGTTGTTCTGTGTTGTTGTTGTAGTTGTTGTTGTAGTAGTTGTAGTTGTTGTTGTGTGTTGTTGTAGTTGTTGTGTGTTGTTGTTGTTGTAGTTGTTGTAGTAGTTGTTGTAGTTGTTGTTGTGTGTTGTAGTTGTTGTTGTTGTGTGTTGTTGTAGTTGTAGTTGTTGTTGTTGTAGTTGTTGTTGTTGTTGTGTGTTGTTGTTGTAGTTGTTGTAGTTGTTGTGTGTTGTAGTTGCTGTGTGTTGTTGTTGTAGTTGTAGTTGTTGTTGTGTGTTGTTGTTGTTGTGTGTTGTAGTTGTTGTAGTTGTAGTTGTTGTAGTAGTTGTAGTTGTTGGTGTGTGTTGTTGTTGTAGTTGTTGTGTGTTGTTGTTGTAGTTGCTGTGTGTTGTTGTGTGTTGTTGTTGTAGTTGTTGTTGTGTGTTGTTGTTGTTGTGTGTTGTAGTTGTTGTAGTTGTAGTTGTTGTAGTAGTTGTAGTTGTTGGTGTGTGTTGTTGTTGTAGTTGTTGTGTGTTGTTGTTGTTGTTGTAGTTGCTGTGTGTTGTTGTGTGTTGTTGTTGTAGTTGTTGTTGTGTGTTGTTGTGGTAGTTTTTGTAGTTGTTGTGTGTTGTTGTAGTTGTGTGTTGTTGTAGTTGTAGTTGTTGTAGTTGTTGTTGTAGTTGTTGTAGTTGTTTACCCTCTGAACAGGTCTTGCCGGTCCAGCCCGCCAGGCAGCGGCAGGCGAAGTCGTTGTTGTTGTTGTTGTGTGTTGTTGTTGTGTGTTGTTGTTGTGTGTTGTTGTAGTTGTAGTTGTTGTTGTGTTGTTGTTGTAGTTGTTGTTGTTGTGTGTTGTTGTTGTTGTAGTTGTTGTTGTTGCGTGTTGTTGTTGTGTGTTGTTGTAGTTGTAGTTGTGTGTTGTTGTAGTAGTTGTAGTTGTTGTTGTGTGTTGTTGTAGTTGTAGTTGTGTGTTGTTGTAGTTGTTGTGTGTTGTTGTTGTTGTGTGTTGTTGTTGTGTGTTGTTGTGTGTTGTTGTTGTAGTTGTAGTTGTTGTAGTAGTTGTTGTAGTTGTTGTTGTGTGTTGTAGTTGTAGTTGTTGTTGTTGTAGTTGTTGTGTGTTGTTGTTGTTGTGTGTTGTAGTTGCTGTGTGTTGTTCTTGTTGTAGTAGTTGTAGCTGTTGTTTACCTTCTGAACAGGTCTTGCCGGTCCAGCCCGGCAGGCAACGGCAGGCGAAGTCGTTGTTGTAGTTGTTGTTGTTGTAGTTGTGTGTTGTTGTAGTTGTGTGTTGTTGTAGTTGTAGTTGTAGTTGTTGTTGTTGTTGTTGTGTGTTGTAGTTGTTGTAGTTGTTGTAGTAGTTGTAGTGGCTGTGTGTTGTTGTTGTTGTAGTTGTTATTGTAGTTGTTTACTCTCTGAACAGGTCTTGCCGGTCCAGCCCGGCAGGCAGCGGCAGGCGAAGTCGTTGTTGTTGTTGTTGTTGTGTGTTGTTGTTGTGTGTTGTTGTAGTTGTTGTGTGTTGTTGTTGTAGTTGCTGTGTGTTGTTGTTGTTGTAGTTGTTGTTGTAGTTGTTTACCCTCTGAACAGGTCTTGCCGGTCCAGCCCGGCAGGCAGCGGCAGGCGAAGTCGTTGTTGTTGTTGTTGTTGTGTGTTGTTGTTGTGTGTTGTTGTAGTTGTTGTGTGTTGTTGTTGTAGTTGCTGTGTGTTGTTGTTGTTGTAGTTGTTGTTGTAGTTGTTTACCCTCTGAACAGGTCTTGCCGGTCCAGCCCGGCAGGCAGCGGCAGGCGAAGTCGTTGTTGTTGTTGTTGTTGTGTGTTGTAGTTGTTGTTGTTGTTGTGTGTTGTAGTTGTTGTTGTGTTGTTGTAGTTGTGTGTTGTTGTAGTTGTTGTTGTTGTTGTGTGTTGTTGTTGTAGTTGTTGTTGTTGTTGCGTGTTGTTGTTGTGTGTTGTTGTAGTTGTTGTGTGTTGTAGTTGCTGTGTGTTGTTGTTGTGTTGTTGTAGTTGTTTACCCTCTGAACAGGTCTTGCCGGTCCAGCCCGGCAGGCAGCGGCAGGCGAAGTCGTTGTTGTTGTTGTTATTGTGTGTTGTTGTTGTGTGTTGTTGTTGTTGTGTGTTGTTGTTGTGTTGTTGTAGTTGTGTGTTGTTGTAGTTGTTGTTGTAGTTGTTGTAGTTGTTTACCTTCTGAACAGGTCTTGCCGGTCCAGCCCGGCAGGCAGCGGCAGGCGAAGTCGTTGTTGTTGTTGTTGTTGTTATTGTGTGTTGTTGTTGTGTGTTGTTGTTGTTGTGTGTTGTTGTTGTGTTGTTGTAGTTGTGTGTTGTTGTTGTAGTTGTTGTAGTTGTTTACCTTCTGAACAGGTCTTGCCGGTCCAGCCCGGCAGGCAGCGGCAGGCGAAGTCGTTGTTGTTGTTGTTGTTATTGTGTGTTGTTGTTGTGTGTTGTTGTTGTTGTGTGTTGTTGTTGTGTTGTTGTAGTTGTGTGTTGTTGTAGTTGTTGTTGTAGTTGTTTACCCTCTGAACAGGTCTTGCCGGTCCAGCCCGGCAGGCAGCGGCAGGCGAAGTCGTTGTTGTTGTTGTTGTTGTTGTGTGTTGTAGTTGTTGTGTGTTGTTGTTGTTGTGTGTTGTTGTTGTGTTGTTGTAGTTGTGTGTTGTTGTTGTAGTTGTTGTTGTAGTTGTTGTAGTTGTTTACCTTCTGAACAGGTCTTGCCGGTCCAGCCCGGCAGGCAGCGGCAGGCGAAGTCGTTGTTGTTGTTGTTGTTATTGTGTGTTGTTGTTGTGTGTTGTTGTTGTTGTGTGTTGTTGTTGTGTTGTTGTAGTTGTGTGTTGTTGTAGTTGTTGTTGTAGTTGTTTACCCTCTGAACAGGTCTTGCCGGTCCAGCCCGGCAGGCAGCGGCAGGCGAAGTCGCCCTGGAGGTCCACGCAGCCGCTGGAGGACTCCGCCCGGCACGGCGGGGGGCTGCACTGATTGGGTAGCGCTGCCGGGGGGAGGGGCGTGGGGAGGGTAGGTGTAGAGAGAGGGGGTAGGTGTAGAGAGAGGGGGTAGGGGAGAGCGAGGGGGTAGGTGTAGAGAGAGGGGGTAGGTGTAGAGAGAGGGGGTAGGGGAGAGAGAGGGGGTAGGGGAGAGCGAGGGGGTAGGGGAGAGAGAGGGGGGTAGGGGAGAGCGAGGGGGTAGGGGAGAGAGAGGGGGGTAGGGGAGAGCGAGGGGGTAGGTGTAGAGAGAGGGGGTAGGGGAGAGCGAGGGGGTAGGGGAGAGCGAGGGGGTAGGGGTCACTAACGGGACGAGCCACCCCACTGAGCTGCTCCCTTTTGAGACCCCTCCAACATCGCCAATGTGCCGCGTGAGAAAACAACAGCCGGGGAAGGCATCGTCAGGGTCGACCTCCTGTGTACCAGGCGAGGTAGTTAACATCTCTTAGCCACCGTGATGATGATGAGAGAGAGACTCAGACTCCACATCTACAGCAGCAGCAGGCATCGTCAGGGTCGGGGTAGAACCCACGACCTCCTGTAGACCAGGCGAGGTAGTCAACATCTCCTAGCCACCGTGATGATGATGAGAGAGAGAGAGAGACTCAGACTCCACATCTACAGCAGCAGCAGGCATCGTCAGGGTCGACTCCCTGTAGACCAGGCGAGGGAGTCAACATCTCCTGGCCACCGTGATGATGATGAGAGAGAGAGAGACTCAGACTCCACATCTACAGCAGCAGCAGGCATATTCAGGGTCGGGGTAGAACCCACGACCTCCTGTGCACCAGGCGAGGTCATCAACATCTAGCCACCGTAATGATGATGATGATGAGAGACGCAGACTCCACATATACAGCAGCAGGCATCGTTAGGTTCGGGATCGAACCCACGACCTCCTGTAGACCAGGCGAGGTAGTCAACATCTCCTAGCCACCGTGATGATGTTGATGAGAGAGACTCAAGACTCCAACACATGCTGCTGCCGATTATTTTCATGATGCTGCTGGCAATGATGATGATGCTGCTGCTGATGATGATGCTGATGCTGCTGCTGCTGCTGATGATGCTGCTGATGATGATGCTGCTGATGATGCTGCTGTTGATGATGATGATGCTGCTGATGATGCTGCTGCTAATGATGATGCTGCTGCTGATGATGCTGCTGCTGATGATCATGCTGGTAATGATGATGCCGCTGCTGATGATGATGTTGCTGTTGATGATGATGCTGCTGCTGATGCTGCTGCTAATGATGATGCTGCTGATGATGCTGATGATGCTGCTGCTGATGATGATGATGCTGCTGCTGATGCTGCTGCTAATGATGATGCTGCTGATGATGCTGATGATGATGCTGCTGATGATGATGCTGATGATGATGCTGATGATGATGATGCTGATGATGATGCTGCTGATGATGATGCTGATGATGATGCTGATGATGATGATGCTGATGATGATGCTGATGATGATGCTGATGATGATGATGCTGATGATGATGCTGCTGCTGCTCACCCCGCACACAGCCCTTGAAGATTCTCTTCGCATCGTCATCACTCCGGGGGGCTGCTCCCAACTTCCTGCTGCACTCTGACCCCAAGGGGGGGGGGAGGGGGGGGGGTGAAGAGGTCAAGGCCAAGAGGTCATCTCCCTCCCACTCACCAATCACCATCTACACCAACCCCACCCCTCACCACAACCCACCACCCCTCACCAACCCCTCACCAACCCCTCACCAACTCCTCCCCACTCCTCAATCCTCAGCCACCGCTTCTAGAACATCACCAGGCTCTCTAGCTGCCCTTCTACAGCATCACCAGGTTCTCTAGCTGCCCTTCTAGAGCATCACCAGGTTCTCTACCTGCCCTTCTAGAACATCACCAGGCTCTCTAGCTGCCCTTCTACAGCATCACCAGGTTCTCTAGCTGCCCTTCTAGAACATCACCAGGCTCTCTAGCTGCCCTTCTAGAACATCACCAGGCTCTCTAGCTGCCCTTCTAGAGCATCACCAGTCTCTCTAGCTGCCCTTCTAGAACATCACCAGTCTCTCTAGCTGCCCTTCTAGAACATCACCAGGCTCTCTAGCTGCCCTTCTAGAACATCACCAGGCTCTCTAGCTGCCATTCTAGAACATCGCCAGTCTCTCTAGCTGCCCTTCTAGAACATCACCAGACTCTCTAGCTGCCCATCTAGAACATCACCAGTCTCTCTAGCTGCCCTTCTAGAACATCACCAGACTCTCTAGCTGCCCTTCTAGAACATCACCAGTGTCTCTAGCTGCCCTTCTAGAACATCACCAGTCTCTCTAGCTGCCCTTCTGGAACATCACCAGGGTCTCTAGCTGCCCTTCTAGAACATCAACAGGCTCTCTAGCTGCCCTTCTAGAACATCACCAGGCTCTCTAGCTGCCCTTCTAGAACATCACCAGTCTCTCTAGCTGCCCTTCTAGAACATCACCAGTCTCTCTAGCTGCCCTTCTAGAACATCACCAGTCTCTCTAGCTGCCCTTCTAGAACATCACCAGGCTCTCTAGCTGCCCTTCTAGAACATCACCAGGCTCTCTAGCTGCCCATCTAGAACATCACCAGGGTCTCTAGCTGCCCTTCTAGAACATCACCAGTCTCTCTAGCTGCCCTTCTAGAGCATCACCAGTCTCTCTAGCTGCCCTTCTAGAACATCACCAGGCTCTCTAGCTGCCCTTCTACAACATCACCAGTCTCTCTAGCTGCCCTTCTACAGCATCACCAGACTCTCTAGCTGCCCTTCTAGAACATCACCAGTCTCTCTAGCTGCCCTTCTAGAACATCACCAGTCTCTCTAGCTGCCCTTCTAGAACATCACCAGACTCTCTAGCTGCCCTTCTAGAACATCACCAGGCTCTCTAGCTGCCCTTCTAGAACATCACCAGTCTCTCTAGCTGCCCTTCTAGAACATCACCAGTCTCTCTAGCTGCCCTTCTAGAACATCACCAGGCTCTCTAGCTGCCCTTCTAGAACATCACCAGGCTCTCTAGCTGCCCTTCTAGAGCATCACCAGTCTCTCTAGCTGCCCTATTACAACATCACCAGTCTCTCTAGCTGCCCTTCTAGAACATCACCAGGCTCTGTAGCTGCCCTTCTAGAGCATCACCAGGCTCTCTAGCTGCCCTTTTAGAACATCACCAGGCTCTCTAGCTGCCCTTCTAGAACATCACCAGACTCTCTAGCTGCCCTTTTAGAACATCACCAGGCTCTCTAGCTGCCCTTCTACAACATCTCCAGGCTCTTTAGCTGCCCTTCTAGAACATCACCAGACTCTCTAGCTGCCCTTCTAGAACATCACCAGGCTCTCTAGCTGCCCTTCTAGAGCATCACCAGTCTCTCTAGCTGCCCTTCTAGAGCATCACCAGTCTCTCTAGCTGCCCTTCTAGAACATCACCAGGCTCTCTAGCTGCCCTTCTAGAACATCACCAGTCTCTCTAGCTGCCCTTCTAGAACATCACCAGGCTCTCTAGCTGCCCTTCTAGAACATCACCAGGCTCTCTAGCTGCCCTTGTAGAACATCACCAGGCTCTCTAGCTGCCCTTCTAGAGCATCACCAGTCTCTCTAGCTGCCCTTCTAGAACATCACCAGGCTCTCTAGCTGCCCTTCTAGCACATCACCAGACTCTCTAGCTGCCCTTCTAGAGCATCACCAGTCTCTCTAGCTGCTCTTCTAGAACATCACCAGGCTCTCTAGCTGCCCTTGTAGAACATCACCAGGCTCTCTAGCTGCCCTTCTACAACATCACCAGTCTCTCTAGCTGCCCTTCTAGAGCATCACCAGGCTCTCTAGCTGCCCTTCTAGAGCATCACCAGGTGATCTTGCTGCCCTTCTAGAACATCACCAGTCTCTCTAGCTGCCCTTCTAGAACATCACCAGGCTCTCAGCTGCCCTTCTAGAACATCACCAGACTCTCAGCTGCCTTTCTAGAACATCACCAAGCTCTCTAGCTGCCCTTCTAGGGCATCACCAGTCTCTCTAGCTGCCCTTCTAGAGCATCACCAAGCTCTCTAGCTGCCCTTCTAGAACATCACCAGGCTCTCTAGCTGCCCTTCTAGAACATCACCAGGCTCTCTAGCTGCCCTTCTAGAACATTACCAGGCTCTCTAGCTGCCCTTAAAGAAAATCACCAGTCTCTCTAGCTGCCCTTATAGAACATCACCAGTCTCTCTAGCTGCCCTTCTGGAACATCACCAGGGTCTCTAGCTGCCCTTCTAGAACATCACCAGGCTCTCTAGCTGCCCTTCTAGAACATCACCAGGCGCTCTAGCTGCCCTTCTAGAACATCACCAGGCTCTCTAGCTGCCCTTCTAGAGCATCACCGGTCTCTCTAGCTGCTCTTCTAGAACATCACCAGTCTCTCTAGCTGCCCTTCTAGAACATCACCAGTCTCTCTAGCTGCCCTTCTACAACATCACCATGCTCTCTAGCTGCCCTTCTAGAGCATCACCAGGCTTTCTAGCTGCCCTTCTAGAACATCACCAGGCTCTCTAGCTGCCCTTCTAGAACATCACCAGGCTCTCTAGCTGCCCTTCTACAACATCACCAGGCTCTCTAGCTGCCCTTCTAGAGCATCACCAGGCTTTCTAGCTGCCCTTCTAGAGCATCACCAGGCTATCTAGCTGCCCTTCTAGAACATCACCAGGCTCTCTAGCTGCCCTTCTACAACATCACCAGGCTCTCTAGCTGCCCTTCTACAACATCACCAGTCTCTCTAGCTGCCCTTCTAGAATATCACCAGGTTCTCCAGCTGCCCTTCTAGAACATCACCAGGCTCTCTAGCTGCCCTTCTAGAACATCACCAGTCTCTCTAGCTGCCCTTCTAGAACATCACCAGGCTCTCTAGCTGCCCTTCTAGAGCATCACCAGTCTCTCTAGCTGCCCTTCTAGAACATCACCAGGCTCTCTAGCTGCCCTTCTAGAACATCACCAGTCTCTCTAGCTGCCCTTCTACAACATCACCAGTCTCTCTAGCTGCCCTTCTAGAACATCACCAGTCTCTCTAGCTGCCCTTCTAGAACATCACCAGGCTCTCTAGCTGCCCTTCTACAACATCACCAGTCTCTCTAGCTGCCCTTCTACAACATCACCATGCTCTCTAGCTGCCCTTCTAGAACATCACCAGGTTCTCCAGCTGCCCTTCTAGAATATCACCAGGTTCTCCAGCTGCCCTTCTAGAACATCACCAGGCTCACTAGCTGCCCTTCTAGAACATCACCAGTCTCTCTAGCTGCCCTTCTACAACATCACCAGTCTCTCTAGCTGCCCTTCTACAACATCACCAGTCTCTCTAGCTGCCCTTCTACAACATCACCATGCTCTCTAGCTGCCCTTCTAGAACATCACCAGGCTTTCTAGCTGCCCTTCTAGAACATCACCAGGCTCTCTAGCTGCCCTTCTAGAATATCACCAGGCTCTCTAGCTGCCCTTCTACAACATCACCAGGCTCTCTAGCTGCCCTTCTAGACCATCACCAGGCTCTCCAGCTGCCCTTCTAGAGCATCACCAGTCTCTCTAGCTGCCCTTCTAGAACATCACCAGGCTCTCTAGCTGCCCTTCTACAACATCACCAGTCTCTCTAGCTGCCCTTCTAGAGCATCACCAGGCTCTCTAGCTGCCCTTCTAGAACATCACCAGGTTCTTTAGCTGCCCTTCTAGAACATCACCAGTCTCTCTAGATGCCCTTCAAGAGCATCACCAGGCTCTCTAGCTGCCCGTCTAGAACATCACCAGTCTCTCTAGCTGCCCTTCTAGAACATCACCAGTCTCTCTAGCTGCCCTTCTAGAACATCACCAGGTTATCTAGCTGCCCTTCTAGAGCATCACCAGGCTCTCTAGCTGCCCTTCTAGAACATCACCAGTCTCTCTAGCTGCCCTTCTAGAACATCACCAGGCTCTCTAGCTGCCCTTCTAGAGCATCACCAGGCTCTCTAGCTGCCCTTCTAGAACATCACCAGTCTCTCTATCTGCCCTTCTAGAACATCACCAGTCTCTCTAGCTGCCCTTCTAGAACATCACCAGGCTCTCAGCTGCCCTTCTAGAACATCACCAGTCTCTCTAGCTGCCCTTCTAGAGCATCACTAGGTTCTCTAGCTGCCTTTCTAGAACATCACCAGTCTCTCTAGCTGCCCTTCTAGAACATCACCAGGCTCTCTCGCTGCCTTTCTACAACGTCACCAGACTCTCTAGCTGCCCTTCTAGAGCATCACTAGGCTCTCTAGCTGCCCTTCTAGAACATCACCAGGCTCTCTAGCTGCCCTTCTAGAACATCACCAGGCTCTTTACCTGCCCTTCTAGAACATCACCAGGCTCTCTAGCTGCCCTTCTAGAGCATCACCAGGCTCTCTAGCTGCCCTTTTAGAACATCACCAGTCTCTCTATCTGCCCTTCTAGAACATCACCAGTCTCTCTAGCTGCCCTTCTAGAACATCACCAGGCTCTCAGCTGCCCTTCTAGAACATCACCAGTCTCTCTAGCTGCCCTTCTAGAGCATCACTAGGTTCTCTAGCTGCCTTTCTAGAACATCACCAGTCTCTCTAGCTGCCCTTCAAGAACATCACCAGGCTCTCTCGCTGCCTTTCTACAACGTCACCAGACTCTCTAGCTGCCCTTCTAGAGCATCACTAGGCTCTCTAGCTGCCCTTCTAGAACATCACCAGGCTCTCTAGCTGCCCTTCTACAACATCACCAGGCTCTCTAGCTGCCCTTCTAGAAGGTAGGTAGGTGTCTAGGCAGGTAGTTGTCTAGGTAGGTGTCTAGGCAGGTAAGTGTCTAGGCAGGTAGATGCCCTTCTACAACATCACCAGGCTCTCTAGCTGCCCTTCTAGAACATCACCAGTCTCTCTAGCTGCCCTTCTACAAGTGATGTCACACTCCATTCACCTTGGTATCTTGGGTAGAAGTACTCCTGGGGGAGAAAAGAACACAGGACATGGATCACAGCGTTAGCATCAGGCAGGTGGGCAGGCAGGTAGGTGTCTAGGTAGTTGTCTAGGTAGGTGTCTAGGTAGGTAGGTGTCTAGGTAGGTAGGTGTCTAGGCAGGTAGGTAGGTGTCTAGGTAGGTGTCTAGGTAGTTGTCTAGGTAGGTGTCTACGTAGGTAGGTGTCTAGGTAGGTAGGTGTCTAGGCAGGTAGGTAGGTGTCTAGGTAGGTAGGTAGGTGTCTAGGTAGGTGTCTAGGTAGGTGTCTAGGTAGGTAGGTGTCTAGTTGGGTAGATGTCTAGTCAGGTGGGTGTCTAGGCAGGTGTCTAGGTAGGTAGGTGTCTAGGTAGGTAGGTAGGTGTCTAGGTAGGTAGGTGTCTAGGCAGGTAGGTAGGTGTCTAGTCAGGTAGGTAGGTGTCTAGGTAGGTGTCTAGGCAGGTAGGTAGGTGTCTAGGTAGGTAGGTAGGTGTCTAGGTAGGTGTTTAGGTAGGTGTCTAGGTAGGTAGGTGTCTATTTGGGTAGATGTCTAGTCAGGTGGGTGTCTAGGCAGGTGGGTGTCTAGGTAGTTGTCTAGGTAGGTGTCTAGGTAGGTAGGTGTCCAGGTAGGTAGATGTCTAGTCAGATAGATGTCTAGGCAGGTAGGTGTCTAGATAGTTGTCTAGGTAAGTAGGTGTCTAGGCAGGTAGATGTCTAGGCAGGTAGGTGTCTAGGTAGGTGACCAGGTAGGTAGGTGTCTAGGCAGGTAGATGTCTAGGCAGGTAGGTGTATAGGTAGGTAGGTGTCTAGGCAGGTAGGTGTCTAGGCAGGTAGGTGTCTAGGCAGGTAAGTGTCTAGGTAGGTAGTTGTCTAGGCAGGTAGGTTTCTAGGTATCTATGTGTCTAGGCAGGTAGGTGTCTAGGCGGGTAGATGTCTAGGCAGGTAGGTGTCTAGGCAGCTAGGTGTCTAGGCAGGTAGTTGTCTAGGCAGGTAGGTGTCTTGGTAGGTAGGTGTCTAGGCAGCTAGGTGTCTAGGCAGGTAGTTGTCTAGGCAGGTAGGTGTCTAGGCGGGTAGGTGTCTAGGCGGGTAGATGTCTAGGCAGGTAGGTGTCTAGGCAGCTAGGTGTCTAGGCAGGTAGTTGTCTAGGCAGGTAGGTGTCTGGGTAGGTAGGTGTCTAGGCATGTAGGTTGCCCATCAGGTAGGCGTCTAGGCAGGTAGCTGGCCAGGCAGGTAGGTGTCTAGGCAGGTAGGTGTCTAGGCATGTGTCTAGGTAGGTAGGTGTCTAGGCAGGTAGGTGTCTAGGTAGATAGATGTCTAGGCAGGTAGGTATCTAGGTCGTAGGTGTCTAGGCAGGTAGGTGTCTAGGCATGTGTCTAGGTAGGTAGGTGTCTAGGCAGGTAGGTGTCTAGGTAGATAGATGTCTAGGCAGGTAGGTATCTAGGTCGTAGGTGTCTAGGCAGGTCGGTGTCTAGGTAGGTAGGTGTCTAGGCAGGTTGGTGTCTAGGCAGGTAGGTGTCTAGGCAGGTAAGTGTCTAGGTAGGTAGGTAGCCAGCCAGGTAGGGGTCTAGGCAGGTAGGTAGCCAGGCAGGTAGGTGTCTAGGCGGGTAGATGTTTGGGCAGGTAGGTGTCTAGGCATGTAGGTGTCTAGGTAGGTAGGTGTCTAGGTATGTACGTGTCTAGGCGGGTACATGTCTAGGCAGGTAGATGTCTAGGCAGGTAGGTGTCTAGGTAGGTAGGTGTCTAGGTATGTTTGTGTCTAGGCAGGTAGGTGTCTAGGCGGGTAGATGTCTAGGCAGGTAGGTGTCTAGGCAGGTAGGTGTCTAGGTAGGTAGGTGTCTAGGCATGTATGTAGCCCATCAGGTAGGCGTCTAGGCAGGTAGGTGGCCAGGCAGGTAGGTGTCTAGTCAGGTAGGTGGCCAGGTAGGTAGGTGTCTAGGCAGGTAGGTGTCCAGGCAGGTAGGTAGCCAGGCAGGTAGGTGTCTAGGCAGGTAGATAGCCAGGCAGGTAGGTGTCAAGGCAGGTAGGTAGCCAGGCAGGTAGGTAGCCAGGCAGGTAGGTAGCCAGGCAGGTAGGTGTCTAGGCAGGTAGGTGTCTAGCCAGGTAGGTAGCCAGGTAGGTAGGTGTCTAGCCAGGCAGGTAGGTGTCTAGGCAGGTAGGTGTCTAGCCAGGTAGGTAGCCAGGTAGGTGTCTAGGCAGGTAGGCAGCCAGGTAGGTGTCTAGGTGGGTAGATGTCTAGGTGGGTAGATGTCTATGCAGGTAGGTAGCCAGGCAGGTAGGTAGCCAGGCAGGTAGGTGTCTAGGTAGGTGTTTAGCCAGGTAGGTCGCCAGGTAGGCAGCCAGGTAGGTGGGCAGGCAGGTAGTCACCGTCTCGGGGACGTTCTCGAAGACCTCGCGCGCCTCCTCGTGCGAGCAGCTCTCCTCCACGCACTCGCGCTCCAGGTCGCCTTGACGACGCTCCTCCAGCTTCAGGAGGCCCTTGTCGTTGGCGCGACGCACGCGGCCCAGGAACGCCCCGGCCTCGTCGGGCCGCAGGACTATGGGGGGGCAGGGGGGGCAGGGGGGGGGAAGGGGGGCAGGGGGGGGGGAGAAGAACCGCGGCATTGGACCAGCAGCAGTAGCATCATCAGCATCAGCATCATCAGCAGCATCATCATCAGCAGCATCATCATCAGCATCATCAGCATCATCATCGCCCATTCATGGGTCGCCGGGTTCGTAGCACCACCGCTCAGCATCCCAACACTCACGAAGCTCCCCCGTATAGCCTCTAAGAGGCAGTAGGGGCAAGTGCTGCTACTCGCTACTCACAGCACTTGCCCCTACAGTCTGTTAGAGGTTACACGGGGGAGCTTTGTCTGTGTCTACCTTCACAGGTGCTGCTCGCTAACAGCACTTGCCCCTACAGTCTGTTACAGGCTACACGGGGGACCTTTGTCTGTGTCTACCTTCACAGGTGCTGCTGCTACTCGCTACTCACAGCACTTGCCCCTACAGTCTGTTAGAGGCTACACGGGGGAGCTTTGTCTGTGTCTACCTTCACAGGTGTTGCTGCTACTCGCTACTCACAGCACTTGCCCCTACAGCCTGTTAGAGGCTACACGGGGGAGCTTTGTCTGTGTCTACCTTCACAGGTGCTGCTTCTACTCGCTACTCACAGCACTTACCCCTACAGTCTGTTAGAGGCTACACGGGGGACCTTTATCTGTGTGTGGGGGTAGCCCCGTATAATCTGACTGATCCTGCTAATCTCAACCACGCATTTACTGCATGCGACGATCAATTGGGATTACATCACACACACACACACTAGTGTACACAACAACAACAACCACCATTCGCCACTAAGTGGCGGTAACGTCACCACGACCCTTGTGCCAGGCCATGTGCACCTTGAGGCCACGTGAAGTGTCGAACGCCCGTTGGCAGGAGGTCACGGGGCAGACCCAGGTGCCACGGGTCGACTGACTGAGATGACTGGCTGATGCACCACCTGTGCCCCCTACTGCGCCAACCTGCTGTGCTTTAACAACCCGGCGCTCCGCTCGTTGTTGTGAGCGTCGCTCCTCCGCCCTCCGTTGTTGTTGGAGGGCGACTGCCTCCAACTGCCCAGTAGCGTCCTTCACGAGCCTCCTCCACAGAGGCTGATCTTGACACCGCTGGTACCGGTCATCGGCAAGTCCACTCAGCTCCACGTCCTCCTGTACCACATCACTCCATCTCTTCTCTAGCCCGTGCCGCGCCCGTTTAGCCCCCTCGATCTGGCCAAACAAAAGCTGTTTCGGCATGCGGTGGCCTGGCATGCGGGCTACATGACCCAGCCAATGCAGCCTTGCCTGCCGGACGAGCTCACCGATGGGACCTTGCCCAGATCTTTCAAGGATTTGTGAGCTCCTCACACAATCCAGCCTGGTTAAACCCAGGATGGATCGTAGGCAGGCCAGCCTATATGTTTCAAACCGGCGAAGATGTTCCATTAGGGGGGGTCCACGTTTCGCAAGCGTAGAGAAGGGAGGGAATGACCGTGGCCGAGAAGACCTGAAGCTTAGTGCAGAGTGACAGACCAGGTAGCTTCCACACAGCGTTACGCTACCGATGAAAATATATTGCCGCTCGACTGATTCGGATTGAGACCTCTGCTGTTAAACTGGAGCCGGTCATAAGCACACTGCCCAGGTATGGGAAACTCTCCACTCTCTCCACAACTGGCCCATCATCGATTGGGAGTTGTGGGGTTGGAGTGTCCGATGGTACAAAATACCCAGGCAGGTGCTTAGTTTTGGTGCTGCTGATGGTAAGGCCCCATCTCTTAGTGGCACACTCTGGTCTCAGCAGCAGCGTCTCCAACTCCTCTGAATGAGCAGCTATTACCAAATCATCGGCATACATAACTTGGTTGAGCAATAGGGAGCCATCCCTTGACCGCACCCGGGCATCGATCAGCCTCCCATTATATCTGTACCATATGGAGATTCCCCCAGTACAGCTATTGAAGGCTTCACGAACTACGTGGTCAAAATAGATGTTAAATAATGTGGGAGCCAGAGGACATCCCTGTCGCACCGCAAGGTGTACAAGGAATGGCTCTGACTCCCGGCCACGTAGTTTTACCCGGGCCCGCTCACCATCATGAAGGTCCTTAATGATCGTGAGCAGAGGGTCAGGTACTCCAAAAGCACGAAGAACAACCCAGAGCCCAGGCCTACTGATGGCATCATAGGCCTTGACCAGGTCAATAAAGCAGAGATGTAGGTCTTGTTGGAATTCCCTACACCTCTGCTGTAGCAGACGGACAGAAAATATGGCATCTGTGCAGGACCGCCCTTTCCTGAAACCACATTGGGGCTCTGAAAGCCTCTCCTCAGCGTGCCTGGCAAGGCGATGTTGAATAATCCTTGCCAGGACTTTTCCCGGCACACTGAGGAGTGAGATGCCCCTGTAGTTGTTACAGTCTGTGCGGTCAGACTTCTTAAAAAGGGGGACCACCAGGGCATCCTTCCAATCCTGCGGAACCCGTCCAGTGGTCCAGACGGTTGTTATGATGTCATATAGGGCAGTCTGTGCACAAACGCCACCCTCCCTCAGCATTTCGCTTGGGAGATCATCTCTGCCCGCTGCCTTTCCTGGTCTCAGACTCCGGATCGCATTCAGTACTTCCTCAACAGATGGCACCTCATCCAGCCACTCACACGGGATGACTTCTTCCAATATTTGAGGCACCGCAGCCTCAGCAGGGTCATCCTCACTTTGTGCCACGATGTTTTCCTTGCTGAGGGATTTTCCCTCCCCCAGGACCTCACAGAAATGCTCAGCAAATCTGCAAACCTGTTCCTGGGGGTCGGAGATTGGATCACTGTTTTTTCCACTAATGATGGTAATAGGTGTGGCGCTGCAGGTTACTTTTTTGATGGAGTTAAATAGAGATGAATGATCACGGGCCACTGAGGCAGACTCCATCTCCTCAGCAACCCGCGACCACCACCCATCCTTGCAGCGCCTCACAGCTCTCCGAACCTCCGAGCGAAGGCTGCGGTAAGCCTCCTCATTCTCTGACGTGGGATTCTGTAGCCGATGACAGTGGGCCTGTCGCTTTTTCTCAACCATCCTGAACACCTCCTCTGTCAGCCAGGGTCTGCATGAGTCACAGTCCTAAACCTCGCCCATTTACCCTCGACATCAGGAGGAGTCGGGGACGATGCCAATCCCAGCCGCAAGCGATGATGAAATTCTCGCTTGCAACTTTCATCAGATAACTGAGACCAGGCCACTTTAGGTTGGAATGGGGTCCTGGGTGTACACCCACCACCGGAGTGGAAGAATGGCAGGCGCATCTTACAGTCGATGGTCAGCTCCACGGTAGGTCCTGGTGTCAAGGACATGGGCTCGCATCCGCTGGTCCGTCACTATGTAGTCCAGCAGATGTTCTTGCTTGGACCCGGCATGCATCCATGATGTTGTGTGGATGCGCCGATGCCGGAACAGCGTGTTGGTAATTACAAGCCCATGGGCTGCACAAAACTCTAGCAGCGTCCTACCGTTGTTATTGAGCTGATCGGGCCCATGCCCTCAAATCACTCCAGACCAGACACATACACACTCACACATGCATACATACACTCACTCACACACACATACAGACACTTACTCACACATACACTCACTCACTCACACAAACATACATACATACAGACACGCACTCACACATACACATATACACTCACTCACACAAACATACATACATACAGAAACTCACTGACACATACACTCACACACATACACTCACACACATACACTCACTCACTCACACATACATACATACAGACACTCACACATACAGACACTCACTCACTCACACATACAGACACTCAAGACACACATGCAGACACTCACACACACATATAGACACTAACACACACATACAGACACTCACACATATAGACACTCACTCACACATACAGACACTCACTCACTCACACCCAGACACTCACACACACACACGTACAGACACTCAATCACATACATACAGACACTCACTCACACACACATACAGACACTCACTCACTCACACACACACACATACAAAGATCCCCCGTATAGCCTTAACAGACTGCAGGGGCAAGTGCTGTTAGTGAGCACCTATGAAGGACGGAACGGTACACGAGGGGGTGGGTGGCCAGCACCACGCCCGACCGCCTTAGTCTCCCCAGTGGCAATGTTTACACACCGCACCAGGTACTCATTTGAGGCTGAGTCGGCCTAGGGGAGGCCCAGGACCGGTTCAAATAATCGTCACTGGTGTTGGCCGTGAGCGGGAATCGAACCCGGGTCGCCAGGTTCATAGCGGAGCGCGCTAACCACTACACTACCGCTTCCCACATACACATACAGACACTCACTCACACACACATACAGACACTCACTCACACACACATACATAAAGACACTCACTCACACACACATACAGACATTCCCACATACAGACACTCACACACATACAGACACTCACACACGCAGACATACACTCATACATAAATACAGACACACACTCATACACACAGACATACATACACTCACTCATGAATACAGACACTCACTCACACATACATACAGACAATTACTTGTACACTCACTCATACAGAAACTCATCACAATCATCATATTAACCATCATCACTCTCACCATCACTATCATCCTAACCATCATTACTCTCACCACCATCATCACTTTAAACATTTTCACTCTAACCATCATCACTCTAACCATCATCACTTTAACCATCATCACTCTAACCATCATCACTCTAACCATCATCACCCTAACCATCATCACTCTAACAATCATCACTCTAACCATCATCACTCTGAACATCATCACTCTAGCCATCATCATCATCATCACTCTAACCATCATCACCCTAACCATCATCACCCTAACCATCATCACTCTAACCATCATCACTCTAACCATCATCACTCTAACCATCATCACACTAACCATCATCACTCTAAACATCGTCACTCTAATCATTATCACTCTAACCATAATCACTCTAACCATCATCACTCTGAACATAATCACTCTAACCATCATCATCACTCTAACCACCATCACTCTAACCATCATCATCACTCTAACCATCATCATCACTCTAACCATCATCACTCTAACCATCATCATCACTCTAGCCATCATCACACTAACCATCATCACTCTAACCATCATCACTATAACCATCATGACTCTAACCATCATCACTCTAACCATCATCACTCTAACCATCATCACTCTAACCATCATCACTCTAACCATCATCATCACTCTAACCATCATGACTCTAACCATCATCACTCTAACCATCATCACTCTAACCATCATCACTCTAACCATCATCACCCTAACCATCATCACTCTAACAATCATCACTCTAACCATCATCACTCTGAACATCATCACTCTAACCATCATCATCATCACTCTAACCATCATCACCCTAACCATCATCACCCTAACCATCATCACTCTAACCATCATCACTCTAACCATCATCACTCTAACCATCATCACACTAACCATCATCACTCTAAACATCGTCACTCTAACCATCATCACTCTAACCATCATCACTCTAACCATCATCACTCTGAACATAATCACACTAACCATCATCATCACTCTAACCACCATCACTCTAACCATCATCATCACTCTAACCATCATCATCACTCTAACCATCATCACTCTAACCATCATCATCACTCTAGCCATCATCACACTAACCATCATCACTCTAACCATCATCACTCTAACCATCATCACCCTAACCATCATCACTCTAACCATCATAACTCTAACCATCATCACACTAACCATCATCACTCTAACCATCATCACTCTAACCATCATCACTATAACCATCATCACTCTAACCACCATCATCACTCTAACCATCATCACCCTAACCATCATCACTCTAACCATCATGACTCTAACCATCATCACTCTAACCATCATCACTCTAACCATCATCACTCTAACCATCATCACTCTAACCATCATCATCACTCTAACCATCATCACTCTAACCATCATCATCATCACTCTAACCATCATCATCACTCTAACCATCATCACTCTAACCATCATCATCACTCTAACCATCATCATCACACTAACCATCATCACTCTAACCATCATCACTCTAACCATCATCACCCTAACCATCATCATTACTCTAACCATCATCACTCTAACCATCATCACTCTAACCATCATCATCACTCTAACCATCATCATCACACTAACCATCATCACTCTAACCATCATCATCACTCTAACCATCATCATCACTCTAACCATCATCATCACTCTAACCATCATCATCACACTAACCATCATCACTCTAACCATCATCACCCTAACCATCATCACTCTAACCATCATCATCACCCTTACCATCATCACTCTAACCATCATCACTCTAACCATCATCATCACTCTAACCATCATCACTCTAACCATCATCACTCTAACCATCATCACACTAACCATCATCATCACCCTAACGATCATCACTCTAACCACCATCACTCTAACCATCATCATCACTCTAACCATCATCACTCTAACCATCATCATCACTCTAACCATCATCACTCTAACCATCATCACCTTAACCATCATCACTCTAAACATCATCACTATAACCATCATCACTCTAACCATCATCATACTAACCATCATCACTCTAACCATCATCACTCTAACCATCATCATCACTCTAACCATCATCACTCTAACCATCATCACCCTAACCATCATCACTCTAAACATCATCACTCTAACCATCATCACTCTAACCATCATCATCACTCTAACTATCATCACTCTAACCATCATCACCCTAACCATCATCACTCTAAACATAATCACTCTAACCATCATCACACTAACCATCATCACACTAACCATCATCACTCTAACCATCATCACTCTAACCATCATCACTCTAACCTTCATCATCACTCTAACCATCATCACTCTAACCATCATCACTCTAACCATCATCACTCTAACCATCATCACCCTAACCATCATCACTCTAACCATCATCACTCTAACCATCATCACTCTAACCATCATCATCACTCTAACCAGCATCACTCTAACCATCATCACTCTAACCATCATCACACTAACCATCATCACTCTTACCATCATCATCACCCTAACCATCATCACTCTAACCATCATCACTCTAAACATCATCACTCTAACCATCATCACTCTAACCATCATCACTCTAACCATCATCACTCTAACCACCATCACTCTAACCATCATCATCACTCTAACCATCATCACTCTAACCATCATCATCACTCTAACCATCATCACTCTAACCAATCATCACTCTACCACCATCATCACTCTTAACCATCATCAATCACTCTAATCATCATCATCACTCTAACCATCAATCATCACTCTAACCATCATCATCACTCTAACCATCATCATCACTCTAACCATCATCATCACTCTAACCATCATCATCACTCTAACCATCATCATCACTCTAACCATCATCACTCTAACCATCATCATCACTCTAACCATCATCACTATAACCATCATCACACTAACCATCATCACCCTAACCATCATCACTCTAACCATCATCACTCTAACCATCATCACTCTAACCATCATCATCACTCTAACCATCATCATCACTCTAACCATCATCACTCTAACCATCATCACTCTAACCATCATCATCACTCTAACCATCATCACTCTAACCACCATCATCACTCTAACCATCATCACTCTAACCATCATCACTCTAACCATCATCACACTAACCATCATCATCACTGTAACCATCATCACTCTAACCACCAGTCATCACTCTAACCATCATCACTCTAACCATCATCACTCTAACCATCAATGCACTCTAACCATCATCATCACACTAACCATCATCATCACTCTAACAATCATCACTCTAACCATCATCATCACTCTAACCATCATCACTCTAACCATCATCACTCTAACCATCATCATCACTCTAACCATCATCACTCTAAGCATCATCACTCTAACCATCATCACTCTAACCATCATCACTCTAACCATCATCATCACTCTAACCATCATCACTCTAACCATCATCACTCTAACCATCATCATCACTCTAACCATCATCATCACTCTAACCATCATCACTCTAACCACCATCATCACTCTAACCATCATCACTCTAACCATCATCATCACACTAACCATCATCACTCTAACCATCATCACTCTAACCATCATCACTCTAACCATCATCACTCTAACCATCATCACCCTAACCATCATCACTCTAACCATCATCACTCTAACCATCATCACTCTAACCATCATCATCACTCTAACCAGCATCACTCTAACCATCATCACTCTAACCATCATCACACTAACCATCATCACTCTTACCATCATCATCACCCTAACCATCATCACTCTAACCATCATCACTCTAAACATCATCACTCTAACCATCATCACTCTAACCATCATCACTCTAACCACCATCATCACTCTAACCATCATCATCACTCTAACCATCATCACTCTAACCATCATCATCACTCTAACCATCATCACTCTAACCATCATCACTCTAACCACCATCATCACTCTAACCATCATCATCACTCTAATCATCATCATCACTCTAACCATCAATCATCACTCTAACCATCATCATCACTCTAACCATCATCATCACTCTAACCATCATCATCACTCTAACCATCATCATCACTCTAACCATCATCACTCTAACCATCATCATCACTCTAACCATCATCACTATAACCATCATCACACTAACCATCATCACTCTAACCATCATCACTCTAACCATCATCACTCTAACCATCATCATCACTCTAACCATCATCATCACTCTAACCATCATCACTCTAACCATCATCACTCTAACCATCATCATCACTCTAACCATCATCACTCTAACCACCATCATCACTCTAACCATCATCACTCTAACCATCATCACTCTAACCATCATCACACTAACCATCATCATCACTGTAACCATCATCACTCTAACCACCATCATCACTCTAACCATCATCACTCTAACCATCATCACTCTAACCATCATCACTCTAACCATCATCATCACACTAACCATCATCATCACTCTAACAATCATCACTCTAACCATCATCATCACTCTAACCATCATCACTCTAACCATCATCACTCTAACCATCATCATCACTCTAACCATCATCATCACTCTAACCATCATCACTCTAAGCATCATCACTCTAACCATCATCATCACTCTAACCATCATCACTCTAACCATCATCATCACTCTAACCATCATCACTCTAACCATCATCACTCTAACCATCATCATCACTCTAACCATCATCATCACTCTAACCATCATCACTCTAACCACCATCATCACTCTAACCATCATCACTCTAACCATCATCATCACACTAGCCATCATCACTCTAACCATCATCACTCTAACCATAATCACTCTAACCATCATCACACTAACCATCATCACTCTAACCATCATCACACTAACCATCATCACTCTAACCACCATCATCACTCTAACCATCATCATCACTCTAACCATCATCACTCTAACCATCATCATCACTCTAACCATCATATTTTCCACCACAATAGTTACCACCACCACCCATCTTCATACTCACACAGGCCTTGCACCATCACCGCCGTGGTGGCTACGAGCACCATCACCATCCCTGCTGCCATCACGGCTCTCCCCTTGCCGACGTGTTGCTGATGATGGTGGTGATGCTGATGATGATGGTGGTGATGCTGATGATGGTGGTGGTGGGGGTGTTCGTCTCTTGGGTTGTGAGACTTCTCTGGAGCGTGTGCAGCGCGTGGGTGGAGGAGTCTCAGTGGGTGGTGGAGGGGGTACGTGGATTAGTGAATGGGGGAGTGTGTGCGAGTGTGTGTGTGTGAGTGTGTGTGAGTGTGTGTGTTGATGAGTGTGTGTGAGTGTGTTGCTCAGTGTGTGTGTGTGAGTGTGTGAGTGTGTGTGAGTGTGTGTGTTGATGAGTGTGTGTGAGTGTGTTGCTCAGTGTGTGTGTGTGAGAGTGTGTGTGAGTGTGTGTGTTGATGAGTGTGTGTGAGTGTGTGAGTGTATTGATGAGTGTGTGTGTTGATGAGTGTGTGTGTTGATGAGTGTGTGAGTGTATGTGTGTGTTGATGAGTGTGTGTGAGTGAGTGTGTGAGTGAGTGTGTGAATGTGTGAGAGTGTGTGTGTGTTGATGAGTGTGTGTGAGTGTGTTGATCAGTGTGTGTGAGTGTGTGAGAGTGTGGGTGGGGGAGTGTGTGAGTGTGTGTGTTGATAAGTGTGTGTGAGTGTGTAAGTGAGTGTGTTGCTCAGTGTGTGTGAGTGTGTTGATCAGTGTGTGTGAGTGTGTGATTGTGTGAGTGAGTGTGTGAATATGTGAGTGTGTGTGAGTGAGTGAGTGTGAGTGTGTGTGTTGATGGATGTGTGTGAGTGTGTAAGTGTGTGTGAGTGTGAGAGAGTGTGTGGGGAGCGATAGTGTAGTGGTTAGCGCGCTGCGCTATGAACCTGGCGACCCGGGTTCGATTCCCGCTCACGGCCAACACCAGTGACGATTATCTGAACCGGTCCCGGGCCTCCCCTAGGTCGACTCAGCCTCAAATGAGTACCTGGTGCGGTGTGTAAACATTGCCACTATGGAGACAAAGGCGGTCGGGCGTGGTGCTGGTCACCCACCCCCTCGTGTACCGTTCCGGCCTTCATCGGTGCTCGCTAACAGCACTTGCCCCTATAGTCTGTTAAGGCTATATGGGGGATCTTTTTGCGTGTGAGTGTGTGTGTTGTTGTGTGAGTGTGAAATGTGGATCCCCCTAATGGAACATCTTCACCGGTTAGAAACATTTAGGCTGGCTTGCCTACGATCCATCCTGGGTTCAACCAGGCTGGACTGTGTGAGGAGCTCACAAATCCTTGAAAGATCTGGGCAAAGTCCCATCGGTGAGCTCCTCCGGCAGGCAAGGCTGCGTTGGCTGGGTCACGTCGCCCGCATGCCCAGCCACCGCATGCCGACACAGCTTTTGTTCGGCCGGATAGAGGGTGCTAAACGGGCGCGGCACGAGCTAGAAAAGAGATGGAGTGATGTGGTAGAGGAGGACGTGGAGCTGAGTGGACTTGCCGATGACTGGTACCAGCGGTGTCAAGATCGGCCTCTGTGGAGGAGGCTCGTGAAGGATGCTACTGGGCAGTTGGAGGTAGTCGCCCTCCAACAACAACAGAGGGCGGAGGAGCGACGCTCACAACAACGAGCGGAGCGCCGGGTGGCTAAAGCACAGCAGATTGGCACAATAGGGGGCACAGGTGGTGCATCAGCCAGTCATCTCAGTCATCTCAGTCATCTCAGTTAGTCGACCCGTGGCACCTGCTGGGTCTGCCCCGTGACCTCCTGCCAGCGGGCGTTCGACACCTCACGTGGCCTCAAGGTGCACATGGCCTGGCACAAGCGTCGTGGTGACGTCACCGCCACTTGGTGGCGAATGGCGGTTGTTGTTGTGTTTGAGTGGTGCCGGACGGGCAACGCTGTCGTGGGCAGTGCCGTGGGGGAGAGGGTCAATTCCGATTGGCCCTCTACCCTCATGGCGTCTGTAGCCACTACCACAGCGGCCATATGGGAGCTCAGGACCACCACGCTCCCACGCCCCCTTCATTATTTTATTCAGAAGAAGAGCCACACCCTGTTGTTTGGCAGTCTCCTGCCCCGAGTAGAGGACTGTCCACCCCTCACGGTGGCAGGAGTCAGAGCCGGTCCACCGGGCCTCCTGAATGCCACGGAGATCCAGGCGGTACCAGACCAGCTCCCGACAGAGGAGTGGCAGCCTCTCCTCCACAGTGAGCGTTCGAACATTCCACATGGCCACACGAAGTGGCTTTTTGTTGTTTCTGGAGGAGCCCCGAGGATAGATATTCAATCTCCTGGCTCCGCCAAATGGGGTTTGGCCAGGAGACGTCATAGTCGCCTGTCCCCCCGGGGCCTCCGGCACAAGCTTGTTTATAGATATCTTAGACGTGGTTTAGTGTTAGTTGATTGAAGGTGGAGGGGTTACCAGCCCTTTGCACCCTTCCAGAGCCCCCGTTTGGCCGCTGTGGTGGTCACAGACGCAATGAGGGGAAAGGCCAATCTGAATTGGCCCTCCACCCATAGTACTGCCCAGCACACCGTTGCCCGTCCGGCACCACGGGGAGGTAGGGGGTTGTTTTGCCAGACACAAAAAGATCCCCCATATAGCCTTAACAGACTGTTGGGGCAAGTGCTGTTAGCGAGCACCTTTGAAGGCTGGAACGGTACACGAGGGGGTGGGTGGCTACCAGCACCACGCCCGACCCCCCCACACACACACACCTCCCCCGCACACCCACACACCCACCCCCCCCACACACACCCACACCCCCCACACACCCCACACACCCACACCCCTACGCACACCCCACGTGATGCTCTCTCTCTCTCAAGGCAATTGCGACATCTCTGCAAGTCCTGGCCATGTGCTTCTCGTTAAAGCGCCGTGCGCGCAGCAGTTACGGAGTGAACTGTGCACGTAACGTGAACCACATGTACACACACACACATATACACGCACACACACGTACACACAGGCATCATACACACACATATACACACACATGTACACACACACACACATATACACGCACACACACGTACACACAGGCATCATACACACACATATACACACACATGTACACACACACACATATACACGCACACACACGTACACACAGGCATCATACACACACAGTGACACACACACATGTACACACACACACATATATACACGCACACACACGTACACACAGGCATCATACACACACATATACACACACACATGTACACACAAGCACACACACACTAAAACAACAACCGCCATTCGCCACTAAGTGGCGGTGACGTCACCACGACGCTTGTGCCAGGCTATGTGCACCTTGAGGCTACCACGTGGAAGTGTCGAACGCCCGCTGGCAGGAGGTCACGGGGCAGACCCAGCAGGTGCCACGGGTCGACTGACTGAGACGACTGGCTGATGCACCACCTGTGCCCCCTACTGTGCCAACCTGCTGTGCTTTAGCCACCCGGCGCTTCGCTCGTTGTTGTGAGCGCCGCTCCTCCGCCCTCCGTTGTTGTTGGAGGGCGACTGCCTCCCACACACACACACGCACAAACATGTACACACACACACATATAAACACACATGTACACGCACACACGTGTATATACACACACGCACAGACATGCACACAGACAAAGCTCCCCCGTGTAGCCTCTTACAGGCTGTAGGGGCAAGTGCTGTGAGTAGCGAGTAGCAGCAGCACCTGTGAAGGTAGACACAGACAAAGGTCCCCCGTGTAGCCTCTAACAGGCTGTAGGGGCAAGTGCTGTGAGTAGCGAGTAGCAGCAGCACCTGTGAAGGTAGACACAGACAAAGGTCCCCCGTGTAGCCTCTAACAGGCTGTAGGGGCAAGTGCTGTTAGCGAGCAGCACCTGTGAAGGCTACCGGCACTGTGACACACGAGGGGGTGGGTGGCTACCAGCACCACTCCCGACCGCCTTTGTCTCCCCAGTGGTGATGTTCACTACACGCCGCTACACCAGCTACTCGTTTGAGGCTGAGTCGACCTAGGGGAGGCCCAGGACCGGTTCAGATAATCGTCACCGGTGGTGTTGGTGGCCGTGAGCGGGAATCGAACTCGGGTCGCCGGGTTCGTAGCGCAGCGTAGCGCTAACCACTACACCCACCGCTCACCCGCACACACACAGTCACACACCAGCACACATACACACACATGTACATACGTGTGTGTATGTGTGTGTGTCAGTGTGTGTGTGTGTCAGTGTGTGTGTGTCAGTGTGTGTGTCACTGTGTGTGTGTGTCTGTGTGTGTGTGACTGTGTGTGTGTCTGTGTGTGGTTCAGTGTGTGTGTGTCAGTGTGTGTGTGTCTGTGTGTGTGTCAGTGTGTGTGTGACTGTGTGTGTGTGTCTGTGTGAGTGTCTGTGTGTGTGTCACTGTGAGTGTCTGTGTGTGTCACTGTGTGTGTGTCTGTGTGTGTTGTCTGTGTGTGTGTGTGTCTGTGTGTGTGTGTCACTGTGTGTGTCTGTGTTTGTAGTGTAGCGGTTAGCGCTACGCTGCGCTATGAACCCGACGACCCGGGTTCGATTCCCGCTCACGGCCAACATCAGTGACGATGATTTGAACCGGTCCCTGGGCATCCCCTAGGTCGACTCAGCCTCAAATGAGTACCTGGTGCGGTGTGTAGTGAACATCGCCACTGGGGAGACAAAGGCGGTCCGGCGTGGTGCTGGCCACCCACCCCCTCGTGTACCGTTCCGGCCTTCAAAGGTGCTCGCTAACAGTACTTGCCCCTACAGTCTGTTAAGGCTATACGGGGGATCTTTGTTCATGTGTGTGGTAGATTTACACTCGTGAAGGACGCTGCTGCTACTGGGCAGTTGGAGGTAGTCGCCCTCCAGCAACAATAGCGGAGGGCAGAGGAGCGACGCTCACAACAACGGGCGGAGCGCCGGGCGGATAAAATACACAGGAGGGGGGTACAGCTGGTGGTGCATCTACCGGTCATCTCAGTCGGCCGACCCATGGCACCTGCTGGGTCTGTCCCCGTGACCTCCTCCTGCACCTAGCCTGGCACAGTAGGGGGGTACAGCTGGTGGTGCATCTACCGGTCATCTCAGTCGGCCGACCCATGGCACCTGCTGGGTCTGTCACGTGACCTCCTCCTGCCAGCGGCGAGCCTTCGACGCTTCACGTGATAGCCTCAAAGTGGTGCACCTAGCCTGGCACGGGTGCCGTTGTGACGTCACACCGTCGCTTAGTGGCGAATGGCGGTTGTTGGTATTGTGTGTGTTGGTATG